GGACCTTCATGGTCCATAGGCAAAAGTTTAACATATGCATAAAACCATGCGTCTAAACACAGGAGCTGGTCTAAGCTGGAAAATGCTTTGCCTCTGCTTTATAATCCTATTTTTCACAGCTACACTTATCTCCCAATTAGAAGGCAAGCTGCAAGCGGTCAGGTAGGGGTTCATTTGTTAATACAGCTCATTGCATATTGACTCCAATTTAAAAATAAAAGATTGCTGGTCTGAGTCACTGATTGCAGCGTGCACTGACAATAATTCTGGGGAAATTGGTCATTATGACTGTTGATGACCATTAGAGCACTGACCTCTTTTGACTTTACCGTCAGCTTTAAATATCAAATTGGTGATTAACTACTCCTGATAACACCCTTTCACAGTGAACCCAGGGCTTCTCCTAGAAGGTAGACTCCAAACTGGATCATTATCAGAGCTTGTCATTTGTCAGTGTTTAAAGGCACTGAAACTCAAGGGTGAATATTTAAGGAAGGGCATGTGACAGCACTGGCTTTGTTGGTGTTTTTACTACTGCCGTACCTTTCCATCAGCTAGTGGTATGTAGCTGAGGGAGAGATGTTCTGCCTGATCTCTTCAGCAAAGCATCAAATCAACAGCAGCTGCTAACAGAGCAAAGCTGTGATGAGCTGAAACACCCTAGGAATTGCATGGCCAGGCAGCTGAATTTGAGTCACTATATCCATGCCAGTGAAAATGTCTTGATAGGTTTACAGGAGCTGTCTTAAGAGCTCCCCAGGAGTTGTACTTCAGTGCCAAGTCCTGCAAAGAGCAGGTGAGCACTGCTAGTAAGCTGCCCTTGTTCCACATCTGCAAGTACTTTAGGATCCTAGAGAGAGGATCCTTTGTAAAAAGACTATTTTTAGTGACTGGAACTGGGACAGAGTTATACAATGCTTACCCAGCACAATCCTGCCAAGGGAAAAAGAATGACTCTTTGTCAGGAGGACTTATATTGGAGATAGTGGAGGTGCCAGCTCTTGGTGGAGATTGGATGGGAGTGAGAGGTTCACTAGGCAAAAGCAGGAAGGTGAACCAACATAATGATTATAGGAAGAGCTGTAAAGCCCACAGTGGGAGTATCCATCTGCATGATCTGGCTGACAGATAGTCAGGAGATCCAGGTTCTGTTGTTTGCTCTACCCCAAGCTGCTCATTGAGCTTGGAAAAAGCATCTACCCTCTACCTGCCTCAGTTTCCCTTCCTCCTCCATAAAGAGAGATTTGGGGAAGTTTCACTACAGCAAAAGGGTTGTCACTTTCTCTTGGAGTCCAGCAACTTCCATAAACTAGCGAGAACTCCAAATCGGCAAGTCTCAAGAAAAGTGAAGCAATTTTAATGAAGAGATTCAGAATGCATGAATAAGTAAAGCTAAAAGACAAGCAACAATTTCACTGTTACAGTCAGATGATTAAAAATGAAAGAAGTATGTAGGCCAGATGCATTTGGTGCCACCCCACTCACTGAACTCCATCATGCAGCACATTTACAGCAGTTTCTCTCAGCCCATGGGTCACAACCCAAAAAGTAGGTTGCAAGAATATACAAAAGGGTCATGAACAAGTTTTAAAAGTGGATCAAATGTTTAAAAATGGATTCTCCTTTTTTTTAAAAAAAGGAGGAAAAAAAGAAGGGCGGGGGGGAGGAAGAAGCCCATGGGAAACCACAGCTTTTCCCTTCTAGGCTGTCAGAGCTCCAGCCTGCAAGGGGCTGCTTGGGCTCCCCCACACACCGCTTGCCCCACACACTGGGGGGCTACAGTCTGGGGGGAGCAGGTCAGGAGTGAGAGGCACTGTGTTAGGACTGGCCATTGATGTTTACAGATCAGTCCTGGTACAAAGAGGGTTAAGAACTAGTGGATTTAGAGGATCCTGCAATAGCAACCCCTACTCTTAACCTATTATTGAGACAGAGACCACTCCATTGTACCACTCCTAGCATAAAGTCTTTGCAATCTTGATTAGGCCCCTGATTTATCACAGTAGAAAAGTATCATATCTTTTTCCCTCTGCAATCTTTCCCAACCAAAAGCATTTCAGGTGGCTCAGAAGAGGTGGGTGCCTTATTTGCTGTTCTGAGAAACAAGGAGAGATTAGAAGAGTCTGCCTTTCACAGCATTTGGCTATAAAACAGCAATAAGAGAGTCAGACCTATAACACCTCTCCACACAATACACTCCTTTGCTTTACATTCAAGCACTGTTAGCCTGTTTCAGCGAGGCCACAGCCATCAGCAAGAAGACCCACGCTTGCCAGTCTCCAAGGGACATACAACATTGCACCCTCTTTGCAAGATTCTGCCAAGTCATTTTTCCCTTCCTCTGCTTTCAGAAACTTTCCTCCTTCCTCATATGCTGCACCTCTTCTCATTAGCTCTCCAGTTCCCTTCACTGAGGTCCCTCTCATCCTACTAGTCACAATCCTCCCAGTTCATTTGTACTACAGCAAAAAGGCTTTACTATAGTCAAGCTACAGATAACCCACCATCCCTACCCTCATCATCTGCTTCCTACTAAATGCTCCACATTTATAGAAACTCCTCCTTCCTTTAGTACTGCCCAGCTGGAAACATCCTCCACTCAGAGGACCCAGTCAGATTTTTGCCTCAATTAAGCTAAACTGGCATCAGGCTCAGTACGTTTCCCAGGGTTGACCACAACGCTCACTTAAGACAAGCATCCTGCCCTTCCCTCCAAACAGGGAAGATGTAAAATAAATAAAAACCTGCTCCAACAGCGCAGCTGCCCAGAGCACAAGCGTGCAGAGCTGCTGGAAACTGCAGGGGTTGAGGCCATGGCTGTAAATCCCCATTGTGTTTTAGTCTGAGAGCTGTAATAATAATAATTGTGTTGCAGTGGCAAAGCATTAGTCTTCGCAGCATTCCTGCGAGCTAGGTAATTAGGTGTCATTATCCCCATTTTAAAGATGGGTAAATTAGTGCGTTCCCAGGTGAATGGCCTGATTTTCACAAAACACTCGGCACCTCACAGTCAGAGCTGCGTTTTCAAAAAGACGCAACTCCTATTTAGGCACCAGAACAAAGGACTTGATTCTCGCAGGAATCCAGGCCAGGAAAGGTGCATGTGCTGGTATTTTTGGTGACCTATTCTTCCTCTCACATGCTCGTTTACCTCATGCACATGTTGCCTCTTGTGCTGTAAACTCTGCAAGGGCCCTTGCTCCACATTGCTGACTCTCACGCCTGGTTTGCAAGTCTCATGAAATCGGAGGGAGGGGGGGTTTAAAACCTATGTCTCCGGGCTTGCACTTTCTTTTTAAAAATCTCACTTCTAAACAAGTTAAAAGGTAAGTTCCTAGCTCTCATGGTTGTAGGGAAAAACTTGTCAGGTTTCCTTGACCAGAAGGCAAACAAAACTAAGCCAATGTTAAAAAATAAAAGCATCAGGAAGGCTTGAGGTAGGCACTACTGTTCTGGGTTTGTACAAAATCCAACCCTGTACAATGGGGCTAGATCAGATTGGCTTTTCATCCATAACCTGTGGTCCCAGACCTGCCCCAGAGCTTTGCACAACTTTCCTGGGCAGTTGGTTGCAGTCTCCTTTACAGCAGGCTTTCAAGAGGAAGCTAAATAAGCCCCAGTCTGATTAGGAAACAGTATGCCTGAATTCACCTAGGGCACAGGGTGGCACCCTAAAGCCCCTGGGTCAGATCCAAGCCATAGAGCTGGGAGGGCTTCAGCGGTGTTTCTGTGGCAGGGGCTTTTGTCCATGCAGCGGACGGGTGATGAGGACAAGCCCCGCGGTAGCTCTGCAGGGAAGAATGACTGTGGATCCAGCAACTCGAGTCAGGTTGGAAGTGGCCCGTGCACGAAGCTAAGCTCCCCTAAAGCAGACCCTACTGCAACAGCCTCATGGGTCCCTCTTGTAGGGGTTTGGGACAGATGACCCTTGAGGTCCCTCCCAACCCTATGACTTTGTGATTCTCCCACATGCTTCAGCATCCCTGTGGCACCACTTCTGTCCTCAGCCATGTGATCTCAGGGAAAAAGAGAGCACAACTGCTAGAAAGAGCCAGCTGGAAACAAAACGGGCAGGACCACAAACCAGCAGCTTGGACAGGGACCTTCAGATGCTTGTAGCATCATCGGTGCTCCAGGACTTTTACATTTTTTTTTTTTAATATGGACACTCTCTACCCTGGGCTACCTGGCTATTCCCTCCCTCTCAGTCTCGTCAGCTCAGCATCACCCCAACTGGTCCTTCTCCTCCCCTCCCTGCTGTCTCTTCTGTCCATTTTGCTAATGCTTCCCCCAAAAAGAAACCAAACTGAAAACCAGTGACAGTAACGTGCTACTTCCTCACCATCCCACCCATCATCTTACTTGTAGGGTCTGTCCTTCAACACTTTGCCTGTCTTGTTCATTTACAGTGTAAGCTCTTTGGGGTTTGGACTGTCCCTGTGTCAGTACACAATTTGCCATGGCCAAATCTATTCCAGCTTTGAAACAGGGTAAGATCCACTATGTAAGTAGTAGCCTTTCTGCTTAGGATCTCAGTTGGCATCTCCTCTGTGGAGCCATCTCCGTGGGGCATGTATCTGGCACATTTTATGGACACCCCCAACACCTGCCCCTTCTGGCAGCAGAGGGAGACCTGGGGGCACACCTACCATGAGTGCACCAGGTTGCAGCCCCTTTGCTTCCTTCTCAGGATCCTCTGGCTGAGGTTCTGGCTGCTCCGTTTTGTTTCTGCAACCCCATCTGTGGCCCCACCAGATCTCTGGATCTCCTATTCAACCTCCTTGCCAAACTGGCCGTCTACCTGACCAGGAAGGAGGCTTTGGCCAGAAACCCCTGGTGACTGTGTGGCCACCTTTCTGGCCCTGATCCATTCACATCTCTAGGGAGAGTTTCACTGGGCAGTGTCCGCTGGCTCCTTGGACTCGTTCGAGGGCCAGTAGGCACT